TCAGCATCACCATCATCATCAGCATCAGCATCAACATCGCACTCGCCACCACCAGCACCATCATCAGCATGGCCGTCGTCGTCGTCATCATCATGTTCTTCTTCATCATCATACATCGTCATCACTATCACTATCATCATTTCGTCATCATCAACATCATCATCAACTCGTCACTTCCGCCATCGTGATAACACTCATATTGTTGTGCTGACATGTTCATTCTTATCATATGTAGCTTTAGTATCAACATCATCCTCATGATCCTCATTTGCATCTCCATCAACACCATCACCCTCATCCCCATCCACATCCTCGTACTCACCATCATCAGCATCAGCAGCAACATCAGCATCAGCATTATCACCATGATCATCAACAGCAGCGGCAGCAGCCCCATCATTAACACCCCCCTCCTCCTGCTCCTCCTCGTCGAGCATCAACCTTTTTCCTGCTCCACTCCGTGTTGATCAGATCCCCCGCCCTGATTCTCGCACTGCCGCCTACGCCAGGGGGTGCTCGTATCGACCCTGTGGTGAATAGTTTGCGCGGGAGGTTCCGAAGCTGCTTGCTTTGTCTGAACCTGCAGTGCCTGTCACGCGCCGAGTTTGCGCTTCAGCCTGCAACCCTCCAACTATCAGCAACACTACTCAGACACACTCCAGCATGAATTCGGGATCCTTGGATCTGGCGCGTGGGCCGCTACAGTCGGGGCGTTGACCTAAGGAACCCTAAATAAGGAACGAGGCCCCTTGATATCAAAAGCTAAGCTTGGATTTCCCATAGAAAACCTCAGGAAAACCAAAGCCAAACTGTAAAACGATCAAGGAACACCGAGCCCCTCCCCAACGAGAAGGGTTCCTTCTTCAATTTCCCGACTGTAGATCCACGGATCGGGGACAGCACCCCCGAAGCATGAAGCTGGTGACCTTTTGTCAGATCGCGCCGCTGTGTGTGTGTGTGTGTGTGTGTGAAGGTGGAACCCGCCGCGAATCCACGAGCCTTACAGAAGAGGCGTTGACCTAAGGAACCCTACATAAGGAACGAGGCCCCTTTTTTCCATAAGTTAACCTTCGATTTCCTGTCGAAAACCCAAGGAAAGCATGAGGCAAGCTGTGAAACACTTAAGGAACGCGGAGCCCCTCCCCAACGAAAAGGGTTCTTCTTCAGGGCCCCGACTGTAATCCATGTGTGCACTTTCGCGAATCTCGGATCCATACGAGTTGAGACAACGGCATCCCAAAACCAGTCCCCCGACCACTCCTGGGATCCAAGCGCACCAATTTTCCGAAATGCAGCTGCGTCGGACCGTGGCGACGGAAGGCCCTGAGGGAGGCCAGCTGCCACCATCTCAACTGAAAACCGCACGCTCGCTGTGCAAACCAAACACCCTGGAACGCACGCGGCTCCTGCATGGCTGGGGCAGCAACCGCTGCGGCGACCTGCTGCCCAGCAGGGTCCTCGAAGAACCGTTGCAGGTACGCGGAATCGTGCCTCGCAAGGTGCGCCGGGGGCGGGGCATCAGCGGGAAAAAGGAAGGTGAGCGTGCGAACATATAAAAAACAACCACATAAACATAGCTTTCGGCGCTCCACGCGAATCTTTAGGTTCTGCGCTGGGCCCGCCTGGCGGCGCCTGGCGGCGCCGCGTCTGGCGCGCTCCGCGCGAGAGGCGCAAGGCCCAGCGCTGATCTAAACAATCCGCGCGGACCTCCTCTGAAAGAAATTGTTGTACGCGATCTGCTCAAGACGAGAATGATATCATGATAAGACTAGCTCGGGATGCGTTCCAGGACTCCAATTGCATCTGGCGGCAATCGTTTTCTATGTTTGCTCAGCCCGTGTGAAACATTGGGGAATCCTGAAAGTCTGCAATTTCCGAAAACCCTCGAGCGCGCATCATTATCATGACCTGATACTTGTCTGCTTGCTGCTCCTTTGTGCGTAGAATTGGCATCGAGCGGCCTGGACACCCGAAAAGACACACTAGACTTTTCCGACGGCAGCGCGGTCCCAGAACACAGCAAGTTCAGCGGGTCGCATAACTTGGGATAGACAGGACACAGCCTACACATTCCATGTCCTGACTTGTCCCACGCGCGGCCCCCAGCAACCCTGACTAGGAGGCGAGCCAGGGGGGGAAGTGAGAAGGGGCGTACCTTCTCAGAGGGCTCGGAAGTCCCCCGGACTTCTGAGAAGTTTTCTAAGCCTTCCCCGAAGACAGAAAAAACCTTCTCAGAAGGCGCGAGGGCTCCCGAGAAGTCCCGCCGCCTTCTGAGAAGGCCTTCTTCTTCCCAATTCCCCCCCTCGCTCGCCGCCGACTGACACTTTCCCCGGGGCGGGCTTTTCATCCCGAATCTTTGTGTTGACGGTCCCGGGGCCCAGCGAAGGTCCCCCGAAAGCCGAACGCTGGCCCAAGCTGCCCGTCCTGACTTTCTCAGGGCGCGACCATACCTGAGAAGGGACCCTCGATTTGGCATGGTCGACCTGCCAAAACATTACCAGCCTGGAACATATCCCTATCCCTATGCTGGGCACCTCTTCACCACGATGCCAGGTTCGGGGATTCCTTTTGCTTTGAGGGCGAATCCCTAAGATTGTCATCGCCTTTGGGCGTGTCAATCTTAGGGATCGGGATACGTTCGAGGCCGGTCAAAACAGGGCGACCTGCGCGGTGTGAGCTCCGGGGCCCCGCGCGCACTGGAGGCCGCGCGCAGACGCAGGCCCGCGGAGGCTGGCCGCGCAAAGAGTGTGTGATTCTGGCACATGATGCGGGAGCTCCTCCTCCTCCTCCTCCTCCTCCTCCTCCTCTCTTTCCTCCTCTTTCCCCTCCTCTTCCTCCTCTTCCTCCTCCAGGCAGCGGCGCGGGTCTGCCGCGCGCCGGCGCTATTTGGTCGGGAGCCGGCAAACTCCTCCGGCGCCCCCAGAAAACTGGGCGGTTCCCCCGGGGGTGGCCTTCTGTCTGACACAGCGGGGCACCAAAGCGGGAGGAGACTTCCCGCCGGGGCCTATAGCTTCCGCTGATTACAGTGGGAGTTCGGCAGGCGGTTGCGCGAACTGGTAGGGCGGCGCCGTGAGCATCCCGGCGGCCAGCCTGCCAGCCTCCGCCGCCGCGCCGGCCGCCGCCGCCGCCCCTGCACCCGCCAACGAAAAAAACCAAAGAAAGGCTGAAAATAAAGAGAAATCATGGCCGGCAGGAAACCCCTGCGGCCACCGCCCCCCGCCACTCCGCCGACCCCGCCTGAAGGGGCCAAGGTGATGAGATATGGTGGCCCTTTGGCCACGTGAGCTCCCCCGAGGCAAGGAGTCTCCTCTGGGCCTTGGAAGCCTTGTCACAAAGCCCCGGGAGACGACGAGGGGTGTGCAAGCAGTAGACCCCACGCCTCTTGCAGAGAAGAATGTCCACCCCCGTATCCAGAGACGAGAGAGTGCAACCCGAATGACATGGGCCTCGCCAGGCCCTGGGCGGCCCCGAAGGACCAAAAGACTCGGAGCCAATTGACCGCGCGCGCTGTTGCTGCCAGGGGGTCCCCTGAGACACCTACCTAGCACGAGCCGTGCGCTGCCAGCGCGCTGCGTTCCGGAGCACGCGGTGCAAGGTCCCAGGACCCAGGGTCCAGGGTCCGCGGAGCTCGAACTCCGGGGTTCCTGCCGAGGTCGTCTGGGAGCGGATCCCGGCAACGGTTCTCGGATGTTGCGCATGTTCGTGACCACCGAAAGCCAGTTACCATACAGCACTGTGAAACTAATTTCTACGTTCTGGGCCTCAGGGTGCCTTGGGGCTCCTCGTTTTGCACCACCACTGGCCAAGTCGTTCCCCGATGCGTTCAGCTTGTCGGAGTCCGAAAGGCCCTCGGAGCTCCCAGAGTCGGCCCTAACCTTGATGAAGCACAGACAGTGGAAACGACCATCGTGCACCACTTTCCTCCCAACACGTGCTGCTGAGGACGACTCGTCGATGCTGCTGCACGGCAGGCCGGCGCCCTCCACGAGGGCCGCGCGGTCGCCTCCCGCCGCGGAGCTCTGCACCTCGAGCCTTGCCCGCACGAGTCCTCGCAGCTCCGCGAAAATAGATCGACTAGACCTGGCGCCCGAGGCAAGACACCTGGACTGACTACCTGCCAGACCACCCCAACCCAACCCGAAGACCCGAATTTGGGTTGGGGGGGGCATGGGTTCCACATGTGTTTTGTCGATGTTCCCGGACCCCCCCCACTAGAAATCGAGGGTAAATCTGAGCCTTCGGGTTGGGTTGGGGTGGTTTGGTGGGTGGTGATGGGCATGCACCGAAAATGGCCCGCTTGACATGGCCCGCTTGGGCGGTGGCCACTGCGGACCAGCCTGCTCCGGCCTCTCGTGGGCCCGAGAGCTCTCGGCCCGCAGCGGCTCCCATCGGGAAAGGCGTCGTCCTCTTCCCCGAACTCGAAAACGTCTGTCATCACAGAGGCGTCGAGGAAGTCCACCTTCTCATACTCGGGGATGGACAGACCCCCCTTTAGCAAAACGTGGTTTAGTGAAAATGACCTGAGGCCCAAACCTGACGGGCGCAAGCCTGGAAAATAAAGGCCACGGCGCCCTCTCGTGAACCGAAAACGGACAATTCACTAATCGACGTGTCACTGTTGGGGGTTCTGTCCACCCCCGACATACATTCAAGTGGGGCCTGGGGAGCGGGCGCCGCCATCCACAACCCGGCGTACAGCGGGTCGCGCGGGCCTGCTGAGAGGGCTGCCTGTGCCAAGTCAGCAGCGATTCGCTCTGCCAGCCCCTGCTCCTTGGCGCTGCACTCCCACGCGTGGTGTCAGGGCGACTCAGGGACAAGCTCGGACAAGCTGCGCAGTGGTGAGACTTGGCGATCCTAACTCTGGAATTTCGCGGAGGTCATGTAGCTACCGCAAAAACCTGCTGGACGATGTGCCTATGTCTGTCGGATAGCCTCGAGTGTCTCCTGAATGCCCGAGGATGGTGAGTCCAGATCCCCGAGGATTGACCCTCCATGCCCGCGAGACACCCCTTGCCCGTGACAGGCTCCAAAAGAACGGCTCTGAGGTCCTCCAGAAAAAGCGCCTTCACAGAGTGCGGCGGGCCCTCCGTGAGGAGCACCTCGAAACCATTGGGCCGCCGGACCGTGGCTGAATGTAAGAAGGTCCACGCGTCCTTGCCAGCCCAGCAGAACATGTCGCCCAAGACCCCGAAGCTAACCCGCCTCGAACTTATCCCTATCCCTAAGATGATCGAGCAAAAAGCGAGGACAGTCTTAGGGATAGGCCCTGAGAAACTGAGGGAATCCTTAAGATCGGCATCGAAGCGAGGTGATGTCAAACATAGGGATAGGGATATGCTTCAAACTGGTAAGAAGCTTCTTTCACCCCGGCTGGCGCACTTCCTGCAGCTTTCGAACCAAGCCTTTGCTCGATGGCAGGGCCTGTTGAGTTCCCGTGGGGCGAGGCAGTCGCGGGGCGGGCTCGGAGCGCATCGCCAGCAGTCGTCCACCACTCCCTGCAAGGCCGAGCGCAGCGCGGCGAGTGGGGCACACGCCAGCCGTGAAGGGGTACGCGCACAGAGTCCCAGCGCCGCCGGCCCGCGACGTCGAAGTTCCTCGACCTCCCAAGGACACCAGTCGGTGATCTCCTCGCCGTGCGCAGGCCCAGGCCTCACCCGGCAGAAAAACAGCCCGGCCTGATCCTTTTCGCGGCCCAGCGAGGACTGAGATGTTCACCAGGCGGCGCTCCGCGCTTTACCGCGACGGCCGTGAAGTCATACGGCGGGGGCCCAGGCCTGGCCATCGCTCGGACGTCCATTCCATGCGTTTTTTTGGTTTCGGCGGTGGTTTTTTTCTGCAAATGACCAAGGAGGCTCCTCGAGGGTCCTCGCCGAAGGAAACATGCACACGTCCGAGCGATGCCAAAAGGCCCCCCCCCATCCCGCTCCACACGTACGATCGTGACCACTGACTTCGGGAGCGGCCAAGAGGGGGGTGTCCAAGAGGGGGGGGTGCAAATCATGACCGGCGGCACGTGCGCGGCCCAGCGGGGGGGCCGTGGACGTAATGAAATAAGAAGAGGCGCCACGAAATCTCGGGAAAACTCCTGGCCCCCGCCATAGGATTCCACCCCCCCCCTGGTCATCACCCCCCTCGTTTCCGGCCCCGATGATTGCCAGGGGTCGGGGGGGGCAGGGGTTTGGCCGGGGCAACACGACCGCTGCGCGCCAGAGGATGCAAAACAAAAAACCGAGGCCCCCGCGCGGCCCAGGGCGGGCCGGCGGGCCGAGACATAGGAAGCGGGGGCGTGCCATCCCTGGAGACGGCATGGCCCTGGCCGGGATCTCAGCACGAGACACACTTTTTGGATCCGCGGGTCGAGAGCGCACCTCTTCCGGTCGAAGCTCAGCGGGCCGCGCGAAGCTTGAATTAAACATGGAGGGGGAGGAAAGGGGGAGGGCGCAGCCTCAGAGCGAGGCCGGGAGGAGGCAAAGACTCGGGATCAGGCGGTGCCGAAGTCGACGCACTGGCAAAGGCGCGCCTTTTCCAGGAACCCCTCACACAAGACACACATGCACGCACCTAGGTTTAGGTCGGGCATGCCCTCCTGCGGGCGAACTTGGGGAGCTAAGCGAAACATTGTCCAAACATGGTAAGCAATACTCGAAAATCGTCGGAACGCCGTCCTAGACTAGTTTTTTCCTCGCTATTCATGAATATTCCCCCTATAGAGGGACACGCCCGACTTATAAACCTAGTCCTCACCCTCCTCTTGGACGCCCCGAGACAGGACCAGTCATCATCAGGCCGGGACATCGGATCTTCTCGGAACGCGCGTCGCCTCGGGATGTGTCGGCGCGGAATCGAGACGTGGCCGCATCTCTGGACGTCCGACACGGGTACGGACAAATTGGCACAATGCCCAACAAATGGTTCAAAGCCGACAGGGCCGCTGTTGGGCCGGCGGCTCTTGTGCCTTCAACGAACCGCGTCGCCAGCGGTGCGGACAGCGAGCCCTGCTCAGAATAGAATGAGCAGGAACTGCTGCTGGGCGTCGTGCCCCCTCTTTCCGTGCCCACGCCGCTCGTCCCGAGCATCAGATGGCCGGAGTATCGGAATCGACTTGGGCCAGCCAGCGGCGGCTGCGGCTGGACATCGGACCGATCGGATCGAGGCCGGCCCTGCCCTGCCCGCGCGGCGGCGGCGGACGCCCGGGCGGGGCAGACCGCGGCGAGATCGAGTGCGGTGGGCCGCGGCTGCCCCGCAGCCTCTCGCGGCGGACGAGGCGGCGCGCCTCTCGGCGGAGCCCCTCGGGCCCGGGCCCGGGCTCGGGCTCGGGCCCCGGCCAAGGCTCGCCATCGAGCTCGGGCGCGGGCTCGTGCTCGGGCTCGGGCCCGGGCCCCGGCTCGGGCCGGTTCTCACTCTCGCTTAAAGGCTTCAAGATCTTAAGCGCACTTGCACCCTAGCTATATGTAGGCTAAGTATCTTAGTTGTACTTACGCTACTTACCTGAGTTAGATATAAGTTACTTATAAGTTACCATAGCGTACGCGCTGTAAGTTACTTAAGGGGTACATATAAGTTACTTATAAGTATTCCTAACTGTTGCTTGAGGGGGAGGGAAGAGGGGGAGGAGGGGGGAGGCGCGGCGCTCGCGTCTTGCCCTTTGCCCGCGCGCGGCCCTTGCCCTTCGGTTTCGCCTTGGCCTTCGCCTCCGCGCCTCCTTCGCCGCCGCCTCCCTCTCCTTCTTCTCCCCCTTTTCTTTTTTATTTTTATGTTTCTCCGCCTTCGCCTGCGCCTTCTCCTCCTTCTCCTTCAGCAGCTTGCCCCTCTCGCCCCTCAGCGCCGTCTCCCGCTTCAGCGCCGCGCCCCTCTCCTCGATCGCCTTCTTCAGCTCCACCTCCGCCTCATTCGTCGTCGCCGTCGTCGTCGACGTCGTCGTCGTCGTCGTCGTCGTATCCCGCCTCGCCCAGCCATGGCGAGAACTGGCGGGCCCGCTCCGTCTGCTGAGCGTTGACGGCCTGAGGCGGGGGAGAGCGATAACGATCGCTGGGAGGAGGAGGAGGAGGGGGGGAGGGGGAGGAGGAGGAGGAGGAGGAGGAGGAGGAGGAGGAGGAAGGGGAGGAAAGAGAGGAGGAGGAGAAAGAGGGGAGGAAGGGGAGGAGGGGAGGAGGAGGGGGAAGGGGGGGAAGGGGAGGAAGGGGAGGAAGGGGAGGAAGGGGGGGAAGGGAAGGAGGAGGAGGAATGGGGAGGAAGGGGGGGAAGGCGAGGGAGGGGAGGAAGGGAAGGACGCGGAGGAGGAGGCGGGGGAGAGCGATAACGATCGCTGGGAGGAGGAGGTCTCCGCCTCCGCGAGCCGCGCCAGCAAGGTGCCGACCTGGCGGTCCAGCGCCCGCGCGCGAGCCCCCCGCGCCTCCTCCATCGCGGCGGCGCGCGGCGGCGCGCGGCGCGGCGGCGCGGCGGCGCCCCCGCGAGCTGGAGCAGCGCGCGGCGATCAGCGATCGCTATTGCTTTCGCTATCCTCCTCGCCGTCCCAGCGATCGCTATCGCTCTCCTCCTCCACTTCCTACTGTCCCCTCCCAGCGATCGCTATCGCTCTCCCCCTCCACTTCCTACTGTCCCCCGTCCGCCCAAAACGACGTTAAATATGTTAAAGCAGCTGGCGCCAAAAACGGCGTTAAAACAGTTAAAGCAGCTTGCTCGTCATCCTCCTCCTCCCCCTCCCGAGCGATCGCCATCGCTACGCCTCCGCGATCCCCATCGCCCCCCGCCTTCCCAAGCGATTGCCATCGCTTCACCTCCGCCCAGCGATCCCCATCGCTTTGTTTTTACCTCTGCGCGCGCGCGGTGACGCGTCCGCCGCGCCCCTTCGCGCGCCGCGCCCGCGCGCGGCACTCCATGCCAGCGCTCACTGCGGGCGCGCTGCCGCTCCCGCCGCCGCAGAGGCGGCTGTCTCTGCCGCTCCTGCCGCCGCCGCGCGCTGCCGCGACGCCACGTCGTAGCGGCTGCCTGGCCGCCACGACCAGTCGACCCTGCCGTCGTCTGCGACCTCGAACTGCACCTGCTCCGTCCACTCTTCCCACGCCTGGTCGTAGGAAGCCTTCGCTGCTGCCAGATAGCCGTCCAGGCCCAGCCTCTGCATTTCTGCCGCAAAGGCATGGTACTGGGCCGATGCATCGACCCAATACTGGAACGTCAGGACCAGGGACTGCATGCATCGCCTGTGGTGGACCTCGATGTCGGGCCACCACGGCGCCATCCCCCACTCGGTGCCCTCCCCGCCACGGCGCAGTGCCTCAGGCGCAACAGGCGGCAGCCTGATCGCCGCCGCCTCGGCGTCCCACCCCTCGCCGCGCGCCCTCGGGAAGCGGTGCACCGCGCTGCCCCCCTCGGCCTCGATATCGGCCCGCGGCCGCTTCCGAAGCCACACCTCCGGCGCGGGGGGCGGCGGCGTCGCGGCGCCTCCTCAGTGACGGGCGGCGCCCTCCT